AGAGAGAGAGAGAGAGAGAGAGAGAGAGAGAGAGAGAGAGAGAGAGAGAGACGGCGAGCAGGAGGATTTCAGAGACGGTGACATGGCATAGGAGGAGCTGGAGATGGGGAACCTCACCAGGGAGGACGATGAAAGAAGCTGCCGAACATGGAGGCAAACTGCCTTGGGTTTTGTCCAAAGTTGCCCACGCAGTATGGAAAGCAAACCGGGTAAAACAGGGTGCAGGCCCAGGCCCCGACGACGCGGTCCAAATAGGGGCCAACAAAGAATTAGACCTGAAAAGGGCATTCCGCTCTACCCACATCCTTTAGGGGTATTTTGGCATATATCTCAACTTATAGGGGTATTTTGCAAATCACCCCTATTATTTTCTGATTACTATTATTATTATCATCATAGTTACCAGGCCAAACCTGAAGGGGTTCGGCCTCCGCCACAGGGCCTAGATTTTTTTTTTTTTGATTGATTTTTTTTTTTGTGAGTTCTGTATGACATGCGCTGCATGCACATAAAATTTTAAGGCATTTTATCAAGCCTAAAAAAATGAAAAATCGCCAAAGATGGCAGTGTCAGAACGTGCTCGGCCACTCAATTCTTTTTTTCTTTCACTTTTCACTTTTTGTTTTAATTTTATTTCGGTGCCTCAAATATTTTATTATTTTTTTTAATTTTATTGTTATGAGCTTTATATTATGTGAAATACACATCTGTAAACTTCCAGGGCATTTGGATATCCCAAGAAAAAATGAAAAATCGCCAAAGACGGCAGTGTCGAAAAAATGCTTGCCCACTCACTAATTTTAATTATCTTTTCATTTCTTCTTATTTGTCTTATTATTATTATTTTTTCATATTTTATTTTATTTCAAATTTGGTAAGGAATTCGGATGTAAGTCCATGTAACGCTGAGGCAAATGTTGTTTGTTTTGTTTTTTCTGCATAACATATATTTTTTTCAGATTTTTTGGAATTCTTGGAATTTTTATTTTTTTTTCAAGGTCCACGTTCGGCCCGAACGGCCGAACGCATATCCAAGGGGGGCCGAAGGTTCGGCAGGTTCGGTTCAGGAGTCCTGCCGAACCCAAACGCCGGCAACCCTTAAATTATCATCATATCGTATTATGTCTTCTTCTTCTTCTTCTTCTTCTTCTTCTTATTATTATTATTATTATTATTATTTATGTTTTTTCTCGATCGTTGAACTTAAACGTTATTGCGGCCAAATTCATTTGAGAAAAGAAAAAAAAAGAATCGTTGCTGGATTCCTTGTCGACCAGTAGTGTACTCGTTCCGTGTGCAGAGAGAGAGAGAGAGAGAGAGAGAGAGAGAGAGAGAGAGAGAGAGAGAGAGAGAAGATAGCACTCACCTGTCGCTGCTTGCTGCCGCTGTGATTGTCGGAAGAGGACATGATCCGTTTTCTCATTCTCTAGGGAAAGCTTCATTGAATTTCATTCTCATTTTGCACATTTAATAGGCATTGCTGCGCGGCCCCGCTTGATCGCCACACTGCTCGTCGTCATGGCTGAGTGCCGCGCTTGCTTTGCTTATCCCGACCGCTGCCTTACATCGTCGTGGTGGTCGAGTTCGCTGGGCGCTGCATCTGGTCGGGTTCTGGCTGTGGATTCAGACTCATTTTGCATATTTGGTGTGTAGTGCATCGAGGCCAGATAGAGGAAAGGAAAACAGAGCGGGGAGGTCGGAACTTTCAAGGACGAATGATTTGAAACTCAACACGACCTGCTATTGCTGTATGTGACAGGAAAGATAGCTTATACCCATGCACAATCGTGTTATTCACTTATTATTATTGTTATTATTATTGTTATTATTGTTATTATTATTGTTATTATTGTTATTATTATATTATTATTGTTATCTCTAATACTCTATTGGAAATAGAGGGCCTCCCATGAGCATCCAATGTGAGGCCCCGTTCACAGTGTTGAAAAAGTACGAAATGGGCCCACAGCCCGTGTGGGAAGCGGCCGAGCAGGCCCCTGCGCCCGAATTTTTGTTTCCAGTTTGGCCACGAGTGTTCGAACGTCATTTTTCCTCGGTTCGTTTTTCCGCGCCCAACCAATGTTCGAGTCTGGGGGTGAGTGTTCAAATATGGTTCTTCTGCTGGCGGCGACCATTCGAGCCGAGGTTGGTTCGGGGGCCTGTGTGAATGGAATTTGGGCGACACGATTGTGTAACAATCGTGTGGAACACTCGTCCGGAAGGCTGCTGTTGGCACGGTGTTATGAACGGGGTCTTTTTTGGCCACAGGTGTGTGGACTGAATCTACAAGTGTGGCAGTGTATATTTCCATGTTCTAACGGAATATTGATTCGATTTTGCTCATCCTATCAATGGAGGGAGAGTGAGGCCAGCCGCGAGGTTTGAGACTTACCTGTTTTCTCTCCCTCTCTCTGCGTCTGTTATCTCTATCGACGGAAGTAGCCTCTCTCTATCTCGTTGCGTGCATGGCTGGAAAAACTCTCTCTCTCTCTCTCTCTCTCTCTCTCTCTCTCTCTCTCTCTCTCTCTC